TCCCAGTTCTCCCCCGCTCCGCCCCTGCCCCAGCTCTTTGTCAGATGTCTCCCTTTCCACCCCAGCCCTCTGGTTCCCAAACTTAGTCTTCTTGCCCAGCCAATCCCAGTTTACACCCTAGCCCCAGTCTCCATCCCTCAGGTTCCTTGTCCCAATCTACTCACCAAGTCCTCCCTCCACCCTGGCTCTTGTCCCCTCTGTATTTGAATCAGATGACTTCCTCCTTCATACTGTCTTGGTGCCAGCAGGTGGGGGGAGGGGAGGTTTGCTTATAGAGACCACAGGAGAGACCGGCTTCCTTACTCAGTTCTGGTACCTGGCCCCATCCCAGCCCTCAGCAGCCATTATAGCAAAAGTCTTCTTTAGCTCTGGGATGGAGCATGCTCACTGCTCTGTGGAACAAGTGTATGCAAAGTCTGGTCAGCACTAGGAACTGGGAGAAGATGGAGCATGGTCAGTGAGGATGGATTCTTTAGAGATTTAAGCTATTAAACTCTAGCAAGTCTTTGAGTATGTGAAAACGGATTTTTTTTCCAGAGGCTTATAACTTGGCCACATTTGGGCAGATTTTCAAAAGGCTTGTTTCTGACACAAAGGGTACCACTGTCCTATTTCAAGCCCCTGTTCCAAAGCATGGTGGTGCAAGAACTTTTCAAAGAAAAGACCACCAAAATTTTTTTAACGTGGAATAACTTACTTTCTTCTAGTCTTGTTCTTGGAAACCATTGAACGGTTTTGGTTGAGCCTTTTAAAAAAAAAAAAAAAAAAATTCAGCCTGAGACAGGCACCTAGCATGGAAAATTTCAGCGAGCACAATTAAAACTTTACTCCTGGGGGAATTCTGCACCACTGTGCAATGCAGCATTTGTACAGAAATTCATGTCGTGTCTCCCCCTCCTCCCCCTTCCAGTTTGGGCTTGCAGAGCAGCTGGAGGCCATTAGGGGCCACTGGGCTCTTCAGAGCCCAGCTTTCCAGCTCTCAGTGAGCAGTGCACCCAGCCCAGTGGGGATCAAGGCTCTGTACGCTCTGGCTGTCCGGCTTGATCCTCATTCGCCTGGGGAAGGGAGGGGGCCCATGAGACCTGTCTCTGGCAAAGGGTGATGCAATTTAAACCCATTGCTTCTTGTCCTATCCTCAGAGGTTAAGGAGAACAGTTTTTCTCCCTTTCCTTGTAACAACCTTTTATGTACTTGAAAACTGTTATGTCCCCTCTGTCTTCTCTTTTCCAGACTAAATAAACCCAATTTTTTCCATCTTCCCTCATAGGTCATGTTTTCTAGACAGGGCCGGCTCCAGGCACCAGCCGAGCAAGCTCGTGCTTGGGGCGGCAGATTCTACGGTGCCAGGTCTGTAGCAAGCCCGGCAGGGCAGCCCACGTCCTTCCCTCCCCGCCGACCGGAGCGGCGCGGAGCCCTCCTGGCAGGTGGCGCGGCGGTCGGGGCCGCGTGGGGAGCACCCCGCTGAAACCCTGGCTGCCTCCTTTCTCTCTCTCCCCCCGCTCCCTCCTCCTCCCCCCGCTAGCCGCAGGTTTTTTTTTCCTGGTTTGCCGCTCTGGCCGCGCCGCAGCTGTTGGTTTTTTGTTTTTGTTTTTGTTTGTTTTTGTTTGTTTTTGTTCTTGCTTTGCCGCTCCGGCCACCCCGATTTTTTTTTTTTTTTTTGCTTGGGGCAGCAAAAAAGCCAGGGCCGGCCCTGTTTCTAGATCTTTAAACATTTTTATTGCTCTTCTCTGGACTTTCTCCAATTGGTGCACATCTTTTCTGAAATGTGGCTCCCAGAATTGGACACAATACTCCAGTTGAGGCCTAATCAGTGTGGAGTAGAGCAGAAGAATTCCTTCTCGTGTCTTGCTTACAACACTTCTGCTAATACATCCCAGAATGATGTTTGCTTTTTTTGCAACAGTGTTGCACTGTTGACTAATATTTAGCTTGTGATCCACTATGATTCCCAGATCCCTTTATGCAGTACTCCTTCCTAAGCAGTCATTTCCCATTTTGTATGTGTGCAACTGATTGTTCCTTCCTAAGTGGAGCACTTTTCATTTGTCCTTATTGAATTTCATCCTATTTACTTCAGACCATTTCTCACTTCTCCTGTCTTTCTTTCCTCTCCCTCCCCCCACTCTTCACTCTTTTTCCCCCCCCCCCATTCCTCAGAAGGTTATGCTGCCCACCTCAGCAGTATCCATTGATAGCTATGTTTCCTGCAGATTCTATACATAGCATCTTGTAGTTCTAAGTAACAATCTTACTTGTTAAAATGTACAGCTTTTTTCTGTCTATCTAGTTTTTAAATCTGATCTAGTTTATATAATAGTGAACATCAGTAGTGCCTATTATAGTTAAGAGTTGCAAAACAGCTTCCACTTTTAGTCACTATTGACAGAATGAGAACATTCTGAAAATTCGCCTTTTGGGGTTAAACTTCCTATGCTTAGTCTCTGATCATAAATAATTTTTGGAATGTTGTAGGAAAATTCCTCCATAAATGTTTCTCAGGCGTGTACAGAGAGTGAAAATACTTTTCGCTCTTTAAAATAATAATAATAATAATAATAATAATAATTCTTAACATGCTTTTTGAGCAATGTTACAGCAAAAATGGCTTATGTTAGAAACTTGTCATGAAAGTAGTCATCGTTAAGGTACTGTTTGGTTTGAAAAATATTACTTTTGGTTTAAAAAGGTACAACTATTTAAAAATTATTTCTACGTGCACAGTAGAAAATGTCCTTTAGTACAGAGTAAAATAAAGATACACTGCACAGTGTGTAACAAGTTAAATGTTCATTTGTTAATTTGAAAAAGCTACAAGAACACTATAGCTAGTCTAAACAACTCTGGAGTGAGAGAGCTTATGAGATCTGCTGGTGGAGCTTGTAAGTTCTAGAACTGAATTAGCTTCATTTTCCTCCCCTTTTCCTCCTTTCTATCCTCTTTATTTCCTCTTAAAAAGTTATGTAGGAAATGGAATGAAAAGCTCTGTTAATGCAACCTTGGATTCCATACAGAAAAATCTGATATCAAAATGTTCAGATTCCAGCACTTTTATTAACTCTTTGTTGCCAGGGTGGATATAAATCAATTAAAAATCGATTTTTAAAAATTTTAATTGAATACAGATTTATTTTAAGAAACCCGGTTTATAATCAAACTTGAAATTGACAGCCTCTGTTAAGGCCTGGGCTTACTATAATTGGTTAAAATTTCATTTTAAAAAATTTCATTTAAAAAAAAAATTAAACAGTACATGTTTGCTGCCAGACTTAAAGGAGTGCTACCACTGAACAGTGAAAGTCACTGTGTGAGCACCTGGAACCAGACTTTGTTGAACTGCCTAAACCAGCTTTTAACATCAATAGCCTTTTCCGCAGAATATTTTCTTCATCTTAATTTATTCAACTAGTTCAGTTCAGTGACTGGTTCAGTTGAAGTTAAACCAATTGGGAGTTGAAAAATCAGGAAAGTTTGTTCCTTTCCTAAAAAAATCAGGAGAAATCCTTTCAATCTTTGGATAAAAAGCAGGTGTGAGAGAATGAGATCTACTAGTTCTAAAGCAGAGGTGGGCAAACTACGGCCCGCGGGCCACATCTGGCCCGCGGGACCCTCCTGCCCAGCCCCTGAGCTCCTGCCCTGGAAGGCTCACCCCTGGCCCCTCCCCCGCAGCCTCAGCGTGCTGCGCCGCCGGCGCAATGCTCCAGGCAGTGTGGTAAGGAGGCAGGGAGCAAGGGGGGTTGGATAGAGAGCAGGGGAGTTCGAGGTGGTGGTCAGGGGGCGGGGGGTGTGGATGGGGGCGGGCGGTCAGAGGGTGGGGAACGGGGAGGTTGAATGAGTGCAGGGGTCCTGGGGGGCAATCAGGAAGAAGGGGGGGGGGGGTGGGGGGGGGAGAAGCGGGGGGGATAGGGGGTAGGGTCCGGGCCACGCCTGGCTGTTTGGGGAGGTGCAGCCTCCCCTAACTGGCCCTCCATACAATTTCTGAAACTCGATGCGGCCCTCAGGCCAAAAAGTTTACCCGTCCCTGTTCTTAAGTTTTGAAGGGCATGGTGACCAGAAACAGTCAGTTCAATTCACTACTTTCTTTATTTAATAAATCAGTTAGTTTTTAAATGCAAAACGTGTTTTGATAATTTATTATGTATCCAGCTCCGAAGGTAGTTTTATTTAACTAATAAAAAAATAAAATGCTGTTTTGTGCATTTTAATTGAATTTTAATTTCTATCCAAATAGAGCTTGACACAAATCACAAGTAACAAATTAACCTAGTAAATAAGAAAGGCATCTTTCACTATTTTCTAATATTATGAAAAATGTAAAAATTAAGAGTCTAAATAAATGTTAATTAAGCTATGTAATTGTTTAAACAAATGTATATAGATATAGTGTATCCTCCCGGTTAGCTAAAAGAAGCACCAAATTTAGTGTAAAGGCTATATTTAGTTACAAATCAATATGCTTTAATGGTTACCAACCCAAAGAGAATCAATCTTACTTTCAGAAAACAACTAAAAAGTAGAAATATGAAACAAGTTTAAAAACGATGATTTAAACCAAGGTTTCCTGCTTGCTGATTTCAATATAACAAAAATCAGTGATTTAAATAAATCTACCCATTTTTTGCACATATATAGTATGGCTATTCTTACTTTTCTGGATAAATATATTTCATCATATAATTCTGTTTATCATAGATTATAAAGCCTAATATACTATTTAGAACTTTACTGAATTTCCTGATGTTTGGTCATTTTTAACTGTCTGCCTTAATATTGCATAAACACTCCCCTGGCCTTTCCTCTCTTCCCCCCCCCCCCCACTCTTTTCTTATGCATGCTGCTTTTTCTTCCTGTTTTATACCTATAAACTATGAAATACTAAAATCAGGGATGGGTGGGTGGGTGTGTGTGTGTGTGTGAGAGAGAGAGATTGTATATGAACATTTTAACATTTAGACCTGTTAGCTCAAAAATGTTAATACTAATTTTTTCTGGCTTTGGTTAAGGAACGTGAAAAAAGAAAGCATGAAAGGATTCTGAGTGAAGAACTTGTTGGTGCAGTGACATATCTCAATCAATTTTTACCCCCAGAACATGCTATTGTGTATATTCCTTGGGATATGGCCAAATACACAAAAAGGTGGGCAAATTCTTTCTCTGTATGGATGTCATCATAGTTCATAAGTGATCAGGGACGGGGATAAATATTCTTTAAATTTCTTTGCTATATCTTGCCAGTGTGAGGGTGGCTTTAGGAGATCAGAACATTTCTATAGGTGTCAGGAGGGAGGAAGTTCTGTTTCATGAAGGATTTTGAGATTTCAAAATTTGGTCTGTTCCAAATGGGAGTGAAAACCAAAAATTTGAAATTCTCCAAAGGAAAATTTGGGGTAAAAAAGCCTTATTACAGGTCAATTGAAATGTTTTGACAAAATCATTTTGTTTTTATTTGTATTATAATGCAAAATTAAATTTTGAAACCGTCATTTCAAGGCAAAACAAAATCAAAACGTACCATTCCAAAAATGTGGAAGTAGGATATTTTGACGTTATCAGAACTTTTTTCTAGTTTTCTTCCAAAAAGATATTCAGGTGAAATCAATCTGATTTCATGAATCTTTTTGATTTCAACAGAACTACCCATTCTGACACAATATAGCTCTGCCTAAGTTTCTCTAAGTCACCCCTATTTTATCATGATGTATTTTTATCAGTCAGATGATTTGCACCTCTGCAGGCCTTTTAACACATGCCATTTTTGTCTTCCACAAGCATCTTTATCTGTAGTTACCAATGCTGCTGTTTCAGCCTAATTTTGAAAATATGTGTTTTTCTTCACTGCCTTTGTGCATTCCCATTTGTGGAATATGGCACCTGCATGTTGAGCCTGTGGAATTTCCTTGAAAAGCCATGTCATTTGGGAGGTTCATGAGTGATCTAGGATGAGGGTGACATCATTGCCCTACACTATGTAAGGCAGCACATCTTCCAACTGCATCAGTTCATTGCTGCAGAGAGCTAACTGAACCTTGCTTTTATGTCCTCAGGCTAGATTATTATAGTCTAATTCTTTTTATCCTTCAGTAATTAACAATTTTTAGTTAGCGTAGTATGGGTTATCGTAGCCTAGATATCTACCTTGGGTAGTCCCTAGCCCATGAGTCCTGTAGGAGCTTCAAGAAATGTGTCATGTCCATGTCAGATGCCTCATGTGCCAGGGTTGGGGGAGAGACCGTGAATCCCAGTGTGTGGTTAGTCATGTCTTCACTTTCCACACAAGAAGGGAGACACATTTGAGGCTTCAGACTTGCTGTCTCAAAAGCCCACATCTATCTACTCCAGCTGCTTAGCTGAATATAGAGGAAACTCCTGAAGGCTGGAAGAATGCTAATGTGTCAATATTCAAAAAGGGGAAGTGTGATGACCTGAGTAACTATAGGCCAGTTAGTCTGTCATCAGTCCCAGCCAAAATAAGGGGAAAAAGTCGATACGTGATTCAATTAATAAAGAATTAAGATAGGAATATAATTAATATAATATAACCAGTAAACATGTTTTTTATTAAAAATAAATCTTGTCAAACAAACCAGATTTCATTCTTTGAGATTAAGGTTTGGTTGCTAAAGGTAACTACAATGCTTATACTTTTGGAAAGCATTTGACTTAGTACCACCACATGACATTCTGATTTTAAAAAATTGGCAGTCTATACAGTATTAATAAAGCACATGTTAAATAGAGTATGAACTGGATGACTGATAGATATCCAGAAGACATTGTCAATGAGGTTTCATCATTGAACGGGGACATTTCTAATGGGGTTTTACAGTGATTGGTACTAGGCCTGAAGCTATTCAACATTTTCATCAGTGATCTGGAAGTAATTATAAAATCACTGCTGATAAAATGTAGATGATGCAAAGATTGATAGAATGGTAAATTTTAATCATTTACCAATGTCCCTTTTTAATTATGTGAAGTAAGCAAAACTGGCATGAAAACATTGCTATTGCTGTAATGTCTGGTCAGTAGATATGGACATGGGTGTGAACTGCAAGTTTTCTTACAAAGAAAATCACTGACAGGAGACTTTCCAACCAGTGAAAATTAGAGAGGAGTATTCAATATTTGTTTTTTCTCCCCATAGCAAACTGTGTAATGTCCTGGATAGATTGAATGTAATTGCGGAAAGTGTAGTGAAGAAAACAGGATTCTTTGTAAATCGTCCTGATTCCTACTGCAGCATCTTGCGGCCAGATGAAAAGTATGTATGAAAACAAGAAAAGTAAAAAGGGTGGAATGAGTTTGGGGGGTGGGGGGGGGGGGAGTATACATAAACCTGTGTGTGTGTGTGTATGTATATATATATACACATTAGGAATATTTCATGTGTATAAGCAGTGCGTGTGCATATGCATATATATATGCATATGCATATGCACACGCACTGCTTATACACATGAAATATTCCTAAATCCCTGCAGTATGTACTCTCTCTAACATGGCTTTTTAAGGATTGCAGTAATGTGAAAATTATAATTTAATGTCTAGTTAGAGTGAAAAAGACTGCAACCAAAGGGACATAATCTATAATTATCCACACATTGAACAAGTGTAAAATATGCCGCTAATTATGCTACTTGTATCTTCAGGGTAAATGTGTACTTGTGAAATTTGGTGTAGTTGGTTGTTCTTGCTACAATAAACACTTTACAAATTAAGTCTGAAATGTTCATTTTCCCCCTTTATATTTAAGCAGTTCATGAATTCTTGAAAGATATAACAAACAGTTCTTTGTTCTGAGAACAGCTTCTTTTGCTGTTTCAGGGCATGCACTTCATGTTGTATTGCATGATTGAAAACAAGATATGCAGTATCTGAACAGATAAAGCAAGCACAATTTTGAATTTAAAGAAAGCATTTTCTAAGGAGTGCCAGGAAATATACCTGTCATCTAAACTTGCCAGTTCCTACTCTTGTATACATGATTGTAAGAAATTCATATTTTTAGAAAAAAATAAAAAAATGTCTAGGGAAGACAGATTATTATTTATTATAACTTTTTAGAACATTACAGAAGTTATCTGATACACTGTATGTTCCCAAATCTCTAAACTGCAAATAAGTTATTTAATTTTCAAATTAGTGATAAAATGGGGGTGTGAAATCAGTTTTTACTTTGAAAGCTCAATTCGGCCCTCATTGATTTATGACATAATTGAAATTTATGTATTTGATGTAGTTTATGTAATTTTTTTAGGCTTATTACAGAAAATTCCTTCAACCTGTCCATAAACATTAGTTAAAAAATATTTTTATGTGATCACTTTCCCAACTTGGGGGGAATCTCTGTATTCTATTAAGGTCTATAACTTGCATTTTGGTTTGGAGGTGGGTAGAAGCATATTGTACTTGGCTTTCTTGGGCTAATTTGTTGTGAGCCTTAGCACCAGGGCTGGCTCCAGGGTTTTGGCCGCCCCAAGCAGCCAAACAAAAACAACAACAACAACAAAGAAGCCGCGATCACGATCTGCGGCGGCAATTTGGCGGGAGGTCCTTCGCTCCAAGCAGGAGTGAGGGACCGTCCGCTGAATTGCCGCCGAACGGCTGGACGTGCTGCCCCTCTCCGAAGTGGCCGCCCCAAGCACCTGCTTGGTAAGCTGGTGCCTGGAGCCGGCCCTGCTTAGCACATGCTTATTCCAATACTGGATTTCTTGCATTGCAAGCTAATTGCAACACATGTCCTACCAGATATGTATAGTCACATTGTTTTCACCCACTCATGTGTATTTTCAATCACTCAGAGATTTCAAACTCATTTTTAGCAGGTTATTAAATTCTTCCCTCTATTTCACTGAGCCAGACACATATGACATGACCTATAATCCTTACATTAAGTAAACTTTGTAAGGCATGGTATTTTGTTTCCCTTCCAGATGGAATGAACTGGGAGGTTTTGTTGTTCCCACTGGTCGCTTACAGGTATTGAAATAATACTGGTTTATTATTACAACAAAGTTTTATTGATGTAAGTCAGTAGTCTGATAGGACAGGATGCTTCCAAAGAGCCATCTACCATAGGTGCAGCAGGAAGTATTGTTCATGAATCAGTAGATGATTGTTTCTCCTCTGAGTCAGTACTTTACTAATATAAATATATATTTTACAGTAGCGCCCAAAGGCCCCAAATGGGTTTAGGGCCACACTGTCTTTGGATGGTGCTAGAAAAAAATGTGCTGCTGGAAATATCTTCTTGCAAATGAAATCTGAGAAATATATTAAATTTTAAATTTAGTTTCCATTTCTGAAATTAGCAATAGTGGTACCAGTCTCGCTGAAAGTTGCTATCCTTTGTAACATTAACAGTACATAGGCAACAAGCCACACAGTACAGTGCTTTTAATAATTTTTTACATCTTGTCTTACAATCAGAAAAAATGTACTGTTCAATATTGAAAAAACTGCATTGTTCAAACATTAAAATTTTAGTTGAGTGTGGATTAAACATGCTTTATTCTGATAGTAAATTCATGTACATGGAAACAAGTATTTAAAAGCATTCTCGTCTTCACATTGTTTCACATTGTATAATTATGGTTACAATCAAAAATTAAACAGGCAATTTGACTCAAAATACTACTCTATGTATAGCATGGTGAAAGAATTACTGGTTTATGATTTTAAATATGGATGTCATGATTGTATATTCTGCACACAAGATACAATGTTGCTGAAGCATTATTTCCTTCTACCTATGATCATTTATAATTTTATACTTTACATAATCTAGGGAACAAATGCTCAATTTCATATTAACAGAACATCAAGGGTCTGATATTTAAGGATAAATAGCTGAGTGAGCCTAATTTTAATCTCTCTAAAAGAAAGAAGAACATGCAAGCCATTTGAATGTTGCCTTGATTTATACATCTTCAAGTATTGCACGGATACCTGTGTGTAGTGTATTAACAAAATAAGCCATAAATCAGATATCATTCATATGAAAATATTATATGGTATTTATGCTTTCAGCTCTTCAGATTATAAAATACGAAGCCTTATGTGGGCATTATGTAATTGAAGAACACAGGCACAGGTGGTGTTTAGAAAGATATGCAGGTTGTAATCTTTAACAGAACTTGTACACCTGTTGCCTATGAATAGGAGTGTTGAAAATATAAACACCATTGTACTATGGCCATAGCAATATGATAGCATGTTTTGTTTTTTATATTTCAGTCTTAGTAGCAAGACTTAAAAATGGAAACTTTATTTTTGCATTGCAGTGGCACCCAACATTTTTTTGCAATAAATCATAAGTGTGTTTATGAGAGGGAAGAAGAGTTTAGTGTTTCAGGAAGCTGATAATAGTGAGACTCTTTTGAATTGAAGCTTTAGCAGTTTTCTGTAACATAGACAATTGCAGCCTAAATGATTTAAGATCTTGACCTAATCACACAAGATTTTGAATAATTAAGTATTTGAGTTTTGACAGGTTTATTAGGAAACCAGGAGAACAATTCCCTTGTGGAGTAAGCATGAATGTAATGATTGGGAACTGGTTGAAGAATCTCCCATTTATTCTTTCTTCTTTCCTAGACTGGTGTTCTTCGAACCAATTGTGTTGACTGTTTAGATCGCACTAACACAGCCCAGTTCATGGTGGGGAAGTGTGCGTTAGCCTATCAGCTCTATTCTTTGGGGTTGATTGATAAACCCAATTTGCAGTTTGACACAGATGCTGTTAGGTAAGATATTTCACTGTTAGTAAAATATGTTGTTGTTTTTTTCCTGGCATTAATTTTGTAACAAATATTAAGCAGTTATCTTTTTCTGTGGCTTTTTATATTTTGTTGTTTTCATAATTTTTCTTTAAGTGAAATTACTTGTGTTTAAATCAAATAAATGTTCAGATCTTTTTTTTCCCAGCTAACTAAACTATCCATTCATCCCTCTGTATGACATTTAACACAGAAATCAATGTAACTTCAAGATTACCTTTATTTGATTAGTATGCTTATCAGGCTCCTTTCAGGATAACAAAACTGAGCACTTCTCTTTTGATGCTTAAACTTCAAACTTGAAAACTCTGTCCTTTAAATAAACATAATAAAAGTGTTTTATAAAGCTTTTAATTTTTGCTTTGCAGTTTGCCTTTAAAGTGAGCTAAGCATAATTTTTTTTGCCAGATGCTCCCAGTAACCAGAAATACATTTTAACTTATTTTTCTTCATTTTCTTTTCTACAGTATCTTCTTGGTGCATTGAAGTGTGTGTGGGGGGGGGGGGGGAATGCATCCTTCTGCAACCTCCCTTTGAACATTTTCAGATTATACACATGTGCCTTTGATACTGAAGTTGGAACCCTCTGAATATTAGTGACCATTAAAGCTTGCAAGAGTGTTCTCTCAGGGATTTGGACATTTGGGCCTGATTGTGTAAATATGAGGGACAATTGTTTTCCTTATTACTGTAATAGAGACCTCTGAGCTCACGGCTTCAGGTAGTTAGTTTAGTATTTCTTGCATAGTGTAGCTTATTGGAGCAGCAGAATTGAGGGAGATATTTCCATTGTGTGTGTTTGTTTTAAAGTAAAGATAGGATTTTATGATTAATAGTCATTGTTGGTGTGTATGCTGATGGGGTGTTTGGTTTGTTCATAATACTGACTCTAATCAGTTTGGTGTTCTTAACTTCCCTGTTAGCTCTGCTTGAATTTCCTGATGGCAGATTCAAAGCATTTGGGGTTTGAGGTGAATCTCCCGTAATGGGAAGATGCCAGTCTCAGACCAACATGCTTGCCTTCATTGTTTTGGAAAAAGACATAGCTACAGTCTTTATCTGGTAGTTCCACAAAGGGGGAAGTCCTAGGGGGAAAATGGCTCCTCCACGTCTCCCTCAACTTTACTGCAATCTTGGCTAAATGCTTTGGCATCAACAGTTATCTCCGCACAAGGGTGCTCGAGGGAAGGAAAGTGAGTCAGATCTGCATTCTGCTTCCAAGAAGCCTAAAGAGAAGACTGCTGGATCTCTGGAATTGCAGGATCCAGAGATGGTGATGCATATAAAGAAGAAGAAGCACCACATATCTGAGAGGTCCCTCCTATTCTTATTCCCATTCAAAGAGTCACAATAAGCATAGATCTGGGAAAACCTTTGTTACTAGAGGGTTTAGTGGCCTTCCTATTGAAACAGATTGAACAACTTTCAATCCCAGAGACAGACCCCTTTGGAACAGTCACCTGCTCAATACCACAGATCTGTCACACAACCATATTTCTCCAAGCAGAAGGGAATAGAGGCAGAAGAAACTGTTTTGTTGCTTTGCCTTTGAGGCATCAGGTTTGCTGGGACATCAGAAAACCTCCAAACAATATTACCCTTGCAATTTCTTTTGATCTTCCACTTCGTTGGCCCCTTTTCTCTTGGGATTGAGGGTTTTTTTACCTTTTGGACAGTTGTATGACTTACTGTTGTGCTTGCTGTATACTTGTTTCTGCTTTTTGAAGAGAGATCAAGATGTGTTACTTTATGTGGCCTTCTCTGTATGGATATCTGCTTCAATTATTATGTTTTTTAAATCTCTTCACTTGCTGAATGATTTTTAGATTGGATTTTCAGATTTACTTACCAGAACAGTGGAGGAATTATTTGAGATCATGCACAGAAGATCCTTCTATACATCTTCCTCCTATGCATCTACCAGAACTTTAATTTCTAGGAAGGAAAGGGAAAAAAAATTCTGAAAATTCTCATAATGCCAAAAAGCCAGAATAAGCAAACCTAACTGTTTTTGAATAAAATAAGACAGGGTACTATGCTAGTTTCCATCGTTTTCTCAACTCTAAGTCCAGAAACAGATTTGAACTTTAGAAAGTTATTATATAGTAGCCAGAAATAATGTGCTATATGACAGAAGTATTTGACTCCTATCATTTGTATACTGTTGACCTGCAAATCTGCCACTCCACACTAATCTGTTGTCTTTTTTATCTATTTCCACATCTCATCCTTTCTCCCTCTGACATCTCTTTTTGGAAGGTTAAAACTGACCTTATTTTTCTGCCCAATCCTTTTTCTCTTTCTCTTTTCTCCATTACTACACCATCATCCTTCCTTGGGGTCACCTTTGACTCCTTCCGCTCATCCTCCTATCACATCTAGGCTATGTTTAAAGCTTTCCACTTCCCCTCTGATGCAACTTTTTTTTCTCTCCCACAATATATCCAGTCCTAATTTCTCATTTTGATTAAAGCAGTCGCCTCCTCTCTGATCTCCCTGACTTTCACAGAACATCTCCCATTTCCAGTCTTTCTGAAATGCAGCTACTAAAATTACCCTCCTATATATTTGACCACATTCACCTTTTTTTTTTTTTTTTTGAAGCTCTCCCTTCTGTACTGCATCACATTTATGCTTGTCTTGTCCCTAGTTAACGCTGACTCTTACTGTCTGACTTAGTAATGAGACAATGTTTTGATATATTCAGACTTTCAAAGTTATTAATCTTTTTTAAGGTCTTTAAAAAAAACATAAGAATGATCATATTGAGTCAGAACGATGGTCCATCAAGTCCAGTTTCCTGTCTTTCAACAGTGGCCAATGCCAGATGCTTCAAAGCGAGTGAACAGAACAGGCAATCATTAAGTGATCCATCCCCTGTCATCCAGTGCCAACATCTGGCAGTCAGAGGCTTAGGGACACCCAGAGCATGGGGTTGTATCCCTGACCATCTTGGCTAATAGCCATTGGTGGACCTGTCCTCCGTGAACTTATCTAATCCTTTTTTGAACCCAGTTATAGTTTTGTTCTTCACAACAGCCCTGGCAACGAGTTCCACAGGTCAATCCCATCTGGTCCTGGAGATTTTTTTTACTGTTTAATTTAGCAATTTGTTCAAAAACCTCCTTTGTTGACACCCTCCATCTGGAACAGTTCTTCAGATTTGTCACCTAAAAAGAATGGCTCAGGTGTGGGATTCTCTCTCTCTCTCATCCTCTATAGTGAAAACCAATGCAAAGAATTAATTTAGCTTCTCTACAATAGCTTTGTCTTCCATGAGTGTTCCTTTAGTATGTCGATCGTCCAGTGGCCACACTGATTGGTTTGGCAGCTTTCTGCTTCTGATGTACTTAAAAAGTTTTTTGCTCTTAGTTTTTGAGTCTTTTGCTGGTTGCTCTTCAAATTCTTTTTTGGCCTTCCTGATTATACTTTTACACTTGACTTGCCAGAGTTTATTCTTCTTTCTATTTTCTTCATTAGGATTTGACTTCCTTTTTTAAAGGATGCCTTTTTGCCTCTAATCACCTCTTTTACTCTGTTGTTTAGCCATGATTGCATTTTTTGGTCCTCTTACTATTCTTTTTAATTTGCGGTTTACATTTAATTTGAGCCTCTATTATGGTGTTATAGTATTATGTGTCCATTAAGCTTGTAGGCATTACACTTCTGTGACTGTATCTTTTAATGTATGTTTTAACTAGTGTCTTCATTTTTGTGTAGTTCTTCTTTCTGAAGTTAAATGCTACTTTTTTGGTATTTCCCCTCCACAAGGATGTTAGTAATAGCAACCATAATATAATTAAATTTGAGTGGTTCAGCTATATTCACCTCTTGGACCACCTGTGCTCCATTTAGGACTAAATCAAGAATTGCCTCTCCTGCAGTAGTTCCAGGACTAGCTGCTCCAAGAAGCAGTTATTAATGGTGTCTAGAAACTTTATCTCTGCATCCCATCCTGAGGTGACGTGTACACAGCCAATATGGGGATAGTTGAAATCCCCCATTATTATTGAGTTTTCTATTTTTGTAGCTTCTCTAATCTCCCTGAACATTTCATGGTCACCATCGCCATCCCCATAAGGTGGTCGATAGTATATTCCTACTGCTATACTCTTATTATTGAAGCATGGAATTTCTAGTCACAGAGATTCTATGGCACTGTTTGATTCATTTAAGATTTTTACTATATTTGACTCTGCTTTCTTACACATGTAGTGCAGATTGTGCTTACTGGTGTTATCTCTGTTTTTGTAAACTGGCAGCAATATATAGGAGAAAAAATATTTCATTTAATCAGGGAAAAAATCTAGGTATCTCAAGAATTCCACAGTAGTTACTTAAAATGAATGAATTAAACTTTTAATATTTGGGAAAATATTTCTACGTTTCAATTTCTGAACATATTGTTAAGGTTTTATAACTCTAAGATTAATTTCACTCTGTTAAAATCTACTCGTTTGTTAAAATAATCACAAATATATATTTACTTAGCCTTCTTGTGGTCCCTGGTATATAGTATTGATACCTTTCATTCATATATACATATATATACACACACACACAGTGTATCCATGTGTATACGTACATAATGTGTACAATAATTCTTAGTGCATGTCCTGATAAGACTAATAGCTGAAGTGGGCAGCAGGAGGAGGTTATCAGAAAAGTTTGGTGCTATGATCTTTTAGACCAGAGCAGATGTTGAGTTAGTTGCCCAGTACATGCTTAGTCTGTTTAAGAGGAATGTTGCGAAAGAACACTTAACTCCTCTTGCAGTAGTTGCCACCTCTGTAATCTTTACTAGCTAAATTAACATTTTGGAAAGAAGACACCTGGCTTTTCTGGTTCAGAAGTATGACACTCATTACATTAACCGAAAATAGTTTATTTGAAATTCTACTTGCTTACCTTTAAGTCTTTTTAAAACATAAAGGTAAGTAAGGCATAAAATACAGAGTAGAGAAACATTCACTTTCTAGCAGTAGTGATAGAATTCTCAGATATTTTGGTTTCATTGGTTTAGATTGTTTGAGGAGTTGTATGAAGATCATGGAGACACACTTTCTCTGCAATATGGAGGTTCTCAACTTGTTCATCGAGTAAAAACCTACAGGAAGATAGCACCATGGACCCAGCATTCCAAAGATATTATGCAGACGCTCTCAAGATATTACAGTAATGCTTTTTCAGGTAAATGGAATTCTTCATGAGTGTTTTCTTTTAAGCCATTATTTAGATAGCAATATATATATAAATACCTTGCTTTCTCTGCATTAGTAATCATTGCTTGTCAGCAATTGGTTTCTGCAAATTTAGGGAAATATTTAAAAAGGAGCACTTTAAAACAGCTGGTTACTTTGATCACTGAAATTCTGTGATAATAGAATATCTTTTATTGGACCAATTTCTCTTGGTAAGAGAGACAAGCATGAGCCACACAGAGCTTTTCTTTTCCGGTCTTGGAACAGTATTCCAAGCGTCACAGCTAAATGGAAGATGGAACAGATTGTTTAGTATAAGTAGATAGCACATATTCTAAGGGACCCCATTAACCTCTGGATTTTACATTGGGAAACTTTAGGGTAAAGAATTAGGTGAATTGGTTATATTGGGCTCATTATTGATGCTAATCTGACATGTCCTCTGATTTATTTTTTTTCACTGTAAAACCTGCTGAGTTCTCCAGCCACAGCCTTGTGTTTTCCATCTGAGAATCTTACATTTTGTTTTTCAGATATTAATGAATTATGCCAACCATGACCAAACCTATGCGTTAGGGTATGATGTCAGTATTATCCCTGTTTATGAATGGGGAAGCAGAGACATAGAAAGATTTAGCCTAAAACTACACTGCAAGTCAGTTTCAGAACCGCAATTAGAAACTGCCTGCTCACTGCTAGGCTCATGCCTAACCCATTAGATCACACTGTCATTTAACGTTGTCCGTTTGTCCATTTGTAAAAATGGGTGATAATGATAATAATTGGCAGTTACATAGCACTTTTTCATCTGTAGTCCTCAGAGCCCTTGGGGTAAGCATTACTAACCACATTGTACAGATGAGATAGATAAGGCACAGATTGGTTAAGTGATTTGCCTGGAGACACACTGGTCTAGTAGATGTCTGGACCTGCAAGCAGGTGACCTGGATTGTAGACTTGATTCTAACACTTCCTTGCTCTGTACCTTAACTTCTCGGTGCCTCAGTTTCATTTTCCATAATGGAAGTAGTGATGATTGCCTTCTGAATGGGAGTACTGAGGCTTAAACAATGTTTCCAAAGTATTAAGGCAGGTCAGTGGCAAAGGCGAGAATAAAACTCAAAAATGGCTCAATTGAATTTGCTGTAACTTAAAAAAATAGTAAATAAAAATTCACCTTTAGGCAGAGACCAAGCATAAACAAATTCCTTGTATGTTGAATTTTTTTGAGACAGTTATGAGCATGAGAAAAAGTGGAGGGTTGTAATGGAAGTTGGAACTCAGCTCTTTTACTGCAGCAGATGCTTCTACTTCTGCTTAATATATTGTAATAAAGTTACATCCTTCTCATACTTTTTAAAACAATGAATATGAGCAAATATTTAAGCATGCCCTTGACAAGCTCTCTGACAGGCATTCTGACTATTTGAATTCCACCATTTTTTTCCTTTTAACTGTTGGCAGAAAAGTTGGAAGAGCATGTTCTTCTTCTAGTGCTTGCTCATGTTGATTCCATTCTAGGTGTGCACGCGTCCACATGCGTGGTCGTCGGAGACTTTTGCCTTAGTGGAATCCGTAAGGCCAGCTGTGGTGCGGGGCCCCCCCCCCCCCCCGAGTGCGGTGCTCATGCGTCCGTATATCAGATGCCACCAGCCCTACGCCCTCTCAGTTCCTTCTTACCACCAATGGTGGTTAGTCAAGTGCCTTTCCTTGCATAGCAAGAGCTAGCGGTTTCGTCTCTTCTGACTTTGAGCCTTAGGGCCTTGTAAACAGTTGTTTATAGTAATTAGTTGTTAAGTGTAGTTAGGTGTTAGAAGTTAGAATCCCAGTGAGGAGTTCGCCCCGGGCAGGGCATGCCCTGGTGTCCGGGGTTTAAGCCCTGTACGGACTGCAACAGGCCTATGCCCATAAGTGATCCCCACAGCAACTGCCTCAAGTGCTTGGGGGAATCACATGTGAAGGACAAGTGTCGTATTTGTAAAAATTTTTGACCCAGGACTTAGAGCAGGATATTCAGTTGTGGGATCTCCTCATGGAGGCTGCCCTTCATCCGGCTTCCGAGCCATCCCACCAAGACTTGCCTAGTACCTCGGTGTGCACCCAAGTACTGGGTTCTTCCCAGCACTGTTCCCTGTCACCGGTCCCCAGAAAGAAAATGAAGAGCCACAGCTCCCCGGCACCGGGCAAGAAAGGCCCTGGGGCACTGGGCAAAGGACCCAGTTCGTGCCACCCTGCCACTTTAGAGCCACACTGACGTGCCGCCCCCATCGGGGCCCTTAGCCCCTTAAAGGATCCACCACCAGCTCCCGGGAGCAGTAGGGGACCCAAATGTCTGATGGCATCAACACCTTCCCAAGATCCCCGGCACTGATAGAACAGAGGCCTCCGCCCGCGCTGCTGGCACCATGCATGCCGCAGGAAGCGGCAAAGGCTCCCTATGAGGGCAAGCCAGCCGCTAAGACACCTCAGGGGGCAGTGGAGCACCGCCGATCCCCGAGACAAGCAGCGCTCTCCATCTCCATGCCGCAGATCTCCAGTGTCCCAGCCCAGCTCCTCTGGGGCTCACCCTCAGTCACCGGCATCGCGATCACGGTCCCAGCAATCTCCATGCAGATCGCCTTGGGGGAGGCGCTGGTCTCCGTTCCACTGGCATCATTCACCCTCCAACTGGTTGTCCGCTCGGTGCAGATCTGTCGCCTGCCCCCGGGGGAGTGCTCCCCATCACAATTCTGGTCCCCTCGATACTGGCACCGATCTTCCCACTCTAAACCGGTATCCAGCAGCGACGGTCAGCAGGCAGACACAGGCATCGACAGCCCGCCACAGTCAACGGAAGGGGATTTCTCCGGCACAGAAGGGTAGTTCAGCCCCTCGTCATGACCCCATTGGTGTGAATGGGAACCTGAGGCCGCGTTGTTGTCTACGGCGCCGCCTTGGCAGCATAGCCAGTGGCCTTATTGGAGTGTGTGGGGCATTCCGCTGATGATGATGCCTCCTTTGCACTGCTCATCTGCTGCCACCTCGGAGCAACAGCTGGTGGCACTGGTGGCACCGGGCTCTGTGCATGAGACCTGCTCGGAGGTTGGGGTAGAGGAGACAGTGCCCGCTCCAAACCCTAATCCCCCACGGGCGATGAAACCCTGGAGCCTCCCCCAGTGGTACAGTCGTCGTCCTCATCCCTGGACAAAGTGGCTTAAACCCTCGGGCCAGCCCACCAGACAATTTTAAGGAACACTAGGCCCTGCTTCAATGGGTGGCTGAGAACTTTGGCCTAGAGGTGGAGGAGATGGCTGAGCAGGCAGACACCTTGTTCAATGTCCTCTCAGCCTCTACCCTGGCATGTGTTGCACTAATTTACAGGGTCCTGAAAATTACCAAGGCAAACCCCGTCATCCATCCCTCCCACCTCCAAAAGGGCAGAAAAGAAGTACTTCATCCCGGTCAAAGGGTTCGAGTACCTTTATACACACCCACTTCCAGGCTTACTGGTTGGCTCTGCGGCCAACAGAAAGGTCAAGCGGGGCACACTAGTTCAACCCCAAAAAATAAAGAGGCCAAAAGACTGTACAAAATTTATTCAACAGACAGCCTGCAATTCCAGGTGGCAAACCATCAGGCCCTCTTCGGACTCCCGCCATAAGTTCAAGGAGTCCCTCTCTCAGGGTATGGCCCAGGAATTCAGCACCCTGGTGGAGGAGGGCACTGCGGCGGGTAGGTGCTCTCTCCAGATGGTATAGGATGCATCAGACTTAGCGGCTAGGATGGTCGCATTGGGGGTGGTCATGAAGTGTAGCTCCTGGCTTCAGACCGCCGGCCTGTCCTCAGAGATGCAGACCTCTATCCAGGATCTCCCATGCCATGGGAACGGTCTCTTTTCAGAGCAGACTGATGCGAGGCTGCATGGGTTAAAGGACACTCGGGCCATCCTTGATTGCTGGGCATGCATATACCGCAATCTGCACGGAAACAATTCCGGCCTCCCCTGCCGCCATGGCCTTGGCAGCCTCATCAAGGGTCTGCAAGGAGAAGAAGTAGAGACTCGAGCTTTAGTCGTCACCACCCTTCCTCGTCCCCCTCACCTGCAGCCCGGCCTGGGGGCCAGAAATACTCATTTTGAACGTGTATTCGGGAGCAATGCCCAGTCAATTCCCCTTGTTCTTTCCTCGAGCATTTTCATCCCTATTGTTCAGCTGGACATAGTATCTCAGGGCTATACACTGCAATTTTTGGCTGCCCCTCCTCACTCCCTCTCTTCCCCATCCCTCTTCAGGGACCCTTCTCACAAGCAATTCCTCATCCAAGAGGTCGAGAACCTCCTGCACCTGGGGGTGGTGGAGGAGGTCCCTAGGGACGTGAAGGGAATAAGTTTCTATTCCTGCTACTTCCTAATTCCGAAAGCAAAAGGGGGGGCCTCAGACCCATTCTGGACCTGTGTCGCCTCAACAAGTCTCTCAGAAAGTTGAAGTTTCACATGGTCTCCCTGGTTTCCATCATCCCTTCCCTGGATCCGGGAGACTGGTATGCCACCCTTGATTTGAAGAACATGTATTTCCATATTCCAAGGTCACAGATGTTTCCTCTGTTTCATAGTGGGTGGATGCCATTTTCAATTCACAACACTGCCCTTTGGTCTCTCATCGGCCCCAAGGGTGTTCACAAAATGTATGGGGCCAGTGGCTACTTACCTGAGACATCGACGGGTCCAGGTCTTCCCGTATCTCAATGACTGGCTCGTCAAGGGCAGGCCTGGGAGCAAGTGCAGAGGAGCCTCGATTTGGTGCGTTCCACATGCCACGAGCTGGGCCTGTTAATAAATGAGAAAAAAATCCACCTTAACGACAGTCCAGCGAATAGAGTTCGTTGGGCGGTTCTCGACTCCACGCGAGCCAGAGACTTCCTTCTGGAAGCGTGTTTTCAGGCCATATCGGACCTGATCTCCCATGTAAAGAACCACCTGCTCACCATGGCTCACATCTGCCTGCAGCTGTT